GGGCACTTTTTGCTTATTGGGAGTTTTGCCTTGATTTGTGGGCGGTGGTACCCGAGAGTAGTCAGCTGCTAGGGTCTCTTTTCCCTTAGACCGCTGAGCGTTGTTCTGGTTGCGCTGCTGTTGCTGTTGCTGTTGCGGCTTGGGCTGTGCAGCTTCCTCGGCTTTCACCCGAGCTACAATCTCTTCAGCTTGTTCTCCCTGCGAAACCAACTGTCTCCAGGAACGACACTCCGCTACCCCCATCTGGGCAAGGAGCTGAGTTTGCAAGTTGTGCCTGCAAGTTTCAACCAGGGTTGACTGAGTCATACCTGAGGGGCATCGCAATGCCATGCTACGGAATCTCTCCACGTAAGCCTTGATGGATTCTCCCTTCCTCTGCTTGGTGGCGAGAAGAGTTGGGACAGAAACTTCCGTATCATCCTCAAAGAACCTAGCCAAGAAAAGCCTTTCCAAATCTACCCATTTCTGAATAGATCCAGCAGGCAGTTTCATAAACCATTCAAAGGCTACTCCTTTAAGAGTGCCTATGAATAAGCGAGTCAAGATGGCATCGTTCGCCACAACATCTCCAGTTTGAGATTTGAAGTAGTAGATGTGCTGATTTGGCGATCCTGTGCCATCGAACGGTTGCAAGGTTGGAGCTTTGAACTTCGGTGGGTATGGAGCTATATCCCATTCAGCGGGATAAGGCCTCACCACTCCTTCTTCGCGGAGCTCACTTCTGTTGGCGATTGCATTGAGGCGAGCTTCCAGTTCATCCATTTTAGTGGACTGAGGATGCAGTTCTTTTTCCACCTCCTTCTCACCTTCAGAAGAGGATCCCAGGTTGTGAGTCTCACGATCCGAATGCTCGGTCGCTTTCTGTTTCCCTTTGAAGGTCGTCCTCCGGGAAGATTCGGGTTTGTGGCCTTTTTCAGCAATAAGTTGGGCCATCATGTCCTTCAATTGGAGAAGTGTCTCCTGTTGCGCCTGGAGCATGACCTGGTGTTCGTTCACTTTCTTGGCTATGTCCTCAGGATTTCCCGCCATGTAAGCAGATACTTCTTGTGGTCCGACCGAGCTCGAAGATTGAGATTCGGCTATTGCCGAATGCTCATCACTTGTTGTAATTCCTCTGGCCAACTTTTGATAGTCAACCGGGCGAATAGCTCCTGTCCGGGTCCGAGTATGCTTATATACTCCTTCGAACTGATCACAAATTTCCCTAACAGTTGGGGAATTACTTCTTTGTGACTCGTCAGAATCGGAACGTGAGGCTTTTCCTCTACCGATCATGTTGATGGTGACCTCGGGATATTCGATTTCAGAGGTCTTCTTTTTGTGACGACGCTGTCGTTTAGCAGGTCTAGCGACATTCGTCAATCTATTGAACACCGATTGCCTAGGCGCCGGTGAACAACAACTGCATTCAGAGAGGACAGCAGATATGAGCCGCTCACACTGGCATGAATGAGCTACTTGCTGTGTTGGCCTTCCTCTTGACAGCAATTCACGCAAGTCGGAGACCTGGGGAAGATTTTGTGAAGGTGGGGATGGAACCCCCTGCCCTTGGATGGGTTGGGCATGAATCTTAAATCCATGCTGTCCCTTTTGAACCTGACGGACCGTGTCATGCTCTTGATAAGAAACACGAGAGTCGCGTTTAGGTTTATAAACACGAGGCCGAGGCCTGTGTTTGATTGATGGACTAGATCCTTGTGGATCTTGTCCTGGTTGAACGCACATTTGTGGTGTGCGTTTTGATGTTGAAACAGACCCCTGCGGGTCTTGTTTTGGTTGAACGCACACTTGAGGCGTGCGTTTTGAAACAGACCCATGAGGGTCGTTCTTTGTTTGAACGCACTCTTGTGATGTGCGTTTGGTTGTTGAAACAGACCCCTGAGGGTCGTTCTTTGCTGGAACGCACACTTGTGATGTGCGTTTGGTTGATAACCCAGACCCCTGAGAGTCGGGTTTTGATTGAACGCACACTTGTGGCGTGCGTTTGTTTGATGACCCAGACCCCTGAGGGTCGGGTTTTGATTGAACGCACACTTGTGGTGTGCGTTTAGTTATTTGAACAGACCCTTGAGGGTCTTGTTTTGACTGAACGCACGGTTGTGGCGTGCGTTTGAATGATTGAACGTGCCTTTGGAGGTCACGTTTTGGGACGCACTTTTGAGGTGTGCGTCTATGTTGAACAACGCGCCACTGAGGGTCGCGTTTGAGTTGAATAACCCGAGGCTCATAGTCGGGTTCATTGCCACGAAGTGTGCGTTCTGGAGCAGAAACGCACAGTTCGGGCACAGGCTCAGAAACGCAGTCTTTGCGTTGGGCAGTAGCTTGGCTGTTCCGCAAGTATGCTCGCCGTAAGGATCTTCTCCTTCGTCGAGCAGCATTTTTCTTAGCCTGTTTCAAGGCCTTGGCCGCGGCATCGTCGGCGTTGGTTGGGCTTTCCTCCGACATAGGTCTTTTTTGACCTATTATTTGCCGTAGTGATACGGGGGAGGAATCTTCAACTCGCAGAGCGAGTTTAAGGTCTTGGCCAAAGGAGAGGGCTTTCTTTGGCATCTCAGCAGTAGTGTTGACCTCCGTAGAGGTCCTGTGGGTATCACGCCTAGCTTTTGGGCTAAGGGACCCAGAGGAGAGGACCTCCTCATACTTGGCTTGGTCGAACTCTACGACGAGAGTTTCGACGGTGGTTCCTGTGAGGTGAACGTCGGATTGCGCCACCACTTCCTCGTCAGAGAAGCTAGTCCCCAGCAGAGTCGCCATCTTTTGTTGGTAGGAAATTTGATGTAAAAAGACAAAGAAAGAAAATTTGACTTGTATTCTCTCAAAATCGATTACAATTTGGATTCCGATTACAAAAGAGAAGAGAATGGATTTGATTCTCTCCTTTGTTTAAGACTGGGTTCTTCTTGGTAGCGATGGAGTGCTTCCTTCGATTGATCGCGTCGAACTTGCTCTCCGTTGACGATCCGACCGTCCTTCTTCACTGGAATAACTGAAGTGTTTGATGACTTCGGTTTAGAACTCTTGACGAGTGTTGAAGAACTCTGAACGAGTTAAGAACTCTGATAAGAGTTGTTGAAAACCGAATGTCTGGTTTGATGTGATTAACTTGCGTTACAAGCTAATTAAAAACTCTTAACGAGTTTAAGAACTCAGAATGAGTTAAAACTCTAAAACAGAGTTGTTGGAACCGAAAATTCGGTTAATTGCCAAGTGGATGATACCTTTGATGAAAGGATCCTTCGGGATTTGATTAACTGATCGTTGATCAGTTCCTTGATCCCCCGAAGATCTCTTCCTTCCGATTACTCAACTGCCGAGATTTGTTGACCTTGGGTGGTTTTGATACCAGCTCCCCTCAACTCTTTGCGGTTTTGATCTCAGAAAACCGATTGATCAACCTATCAACCCGCCAACCCCTTACTCAGTTGAGTAAGTTGGTTATTTATAGGGTGATGTGGAGTGCAACCAACCCCTATTTCCGCTCCTTTGTGGGCGAGAATCCCTCAGAACGTGGGATAACGGTTTTGAGGCCGTTCGACTTGCGTTTGAACAAGTCAAAACGCCTCAGTTGGCGTTATGGGCTTTAACTCTGCGTCTAAGGCTTGAGATGCAGAGTTAAATCTCTGTTAGAGATTTGAGACACACAGGCCGTGTGCGTTGAAGCTCAACTCTGCGTCCAGAGTTTGGGACACGTAGTTGAACCTATTGAAGAACGCACGTTATGTGTGCGTTTGGTGCTTGAACTCTGCGTTGCAGAGTTAGACATTCGCTGGAGAACGCACAAGTTGTGTGCGTTTCGAATTTGAGAAACGCAGAATTAAACTTCTACGTTTGATAGAGGTTGTTGACTTGTAACATCGTCTGCCATGACATTGCAAAGGCCATTGTTTATTGGTCTTTGCCTGTTATAAGATATGAGAGTCGTCAGATTGTAACTCTCACCAACGATCGTGAAGGCCACTGAATAGGGTTTTCATCAGCTGTCGGAAGCGTCGTCAAATTGTAACTCTTCTCGATCTGTGTGAAAAGTCTCCTATTTGCCCTTTCCGACTGTCGACCCGAAAGCTATTTGATTGTAGCTTTCGTTGTGAGAGCTTGACGGGAATCAACATCCATAGTGTTTTGAAGATGGATATTTGCCCACAGCTCTCTACCAAGCGACTCACCAACTAAGTCCAACCTTTTATTTCTGAAATCATTACACTGCTCATCAGCATCTCTAATAGTTGCTAATATAATATTAGTCATGCTGTTGTCGCAGCCATCAAGATCAATCATCTCAGAGATGAGGCCTTGTTTATAGCGGTTGCAGAGTTGCGGATGCAGTGATTAGAAAGTCGTCTGATTGTAACTTCCATTATCAGGGCTTGATAGGGATTAGCTATCCATTGTGATTTTTAGACAGCCTACAGAACCCCCTCCAAAGTTTTCGAAAGTTCGCGGTTGACTGGGACGAATTTTCGGAATACTTTGGATCTCAAAATTTAGAAGACGTTGTCAGACTTAGTTGATTGGAATCTAATTGTACTCATCCAATGGACTCTTTTGTGGGGTCACTTATTTCTTCTTGGCTTTTAGTCGCTTTGATAGCTGACATTAGCCTCCCTCTATTTATTTGGAACCATGTCTTGGCTATAAACATAGAGGAAGTCGTGTGGTTGAGTCAGAACGCACAGATAGATTTCTTGCGTTATTGAACTGAAACGCAGGGTTAAATTCTGCGTTTAGGGATTCCATCAATGTAGATGCACGGCGGATTATAACGCAGGGGTGAATTCTGCGTTCAGAAGCTCAAGCGTCACAGGCGCACAGGCCACGTTTGGCGGGATTTTGGGCCTAGAACCCCGACCCGATTTGACAGCTCATAGCTGTCTATAAATAGACCGCTAAGGGTCAAATCAAAAGTCACCCGACTTTTTGCCTCCTCTCTTTCGGAAGATTTTTAACGAAGCCTCTTCGTTTTCGACGTCGGTGATCCTGTTCATCATCTCCAACCCTCTTCCATGGGTTCCAAGAAGAAAGCTGCTCCACGCCCAAGATCCCCTGCTGCAGCGGTGCCGCCGTTTCAGGTTCCGCCCGTCGGTGGTAAGCGTCGCCCTTCGTGGCCGTCAAACTCGCTTCGGCGAGTTCTTTAAAACCCTAGATGTATCGCCATCAAACTTGCTTCGGCGAGTTCTCTGAAAAACCCTAGATGGGTTCTTGCAAACGAGGGAGATGACTCGTTTTGTTATTGTAACGCAGAGTTAAGACTCTGCGTTTTGAATTCGAAACGTCAAGGGCTTGACCTTTGCGTTTATGAAATTTTTTAACGCCAGGCTTGAACTGTGCGTTCGAAAACTTAACGCAGAGTTTAACCTCTGCGTTGATGAAAATTAACGCCAGGCTTTAACTGTGCGTTCGAAGACTTAATTTTGATGATGATGCTCCCAAGGTCCCATCCGATAAAGTATCTGGTTATACTCCTTTTCACATCTCCGGTAAGTCTAGTTTCCTTCGACTTCTTCCGCATGTGTTTTCTGCGTTCCGACCCTTTTTCCGTGCAGGTTCACCTTCTCCAGGGACCACTGCTGCTACTGCTTCAGAGCCAGAACCTGCTCAGGTGTCGGCTCCTTTAGAAGAGCAACATTTACGTGGCTCTCCTACGGCAACTGTTCCACCTGTAGCGTTGCCTGAAACTACTGTCGCGGCTCCTCCTCCGGAGCAGCAGCTCGTGCCGGTGTTGGCTCCTGTGCAAGAGCAGCCTACACCTGTAGTGTTGCCTGAGACTACTGTAGCTGCTTCGCCTACTGCATTGCTGAAGATCTCGCTTACTCCAACAGAGGCACAGCCAAGCACATCTCAAGCAAGGGCGATGATGGCTTTAACCTCAAGCCCTTCACAATTGAATATTTCTACCGCTTCCGCAGCTTCGGCGCCAGGATCCCCTGCACTAACTTCGATGGCTAGAGGGGCGTCGTCGGCTATGGTTTCTAGTCTCGCTGACGCACCTGAATTTCTCCAGATCTCCCTGGTATATCTAAATAGCCTCGCGAAGACAGTAGTCGATTACATGGTGAATGGTCGGGGGACTTTGAATTCCTTCCGACCACTTTTAGAGGCAGGCCTGAATGGAGTTAGGAGTGTGGGCAATATTCAGTGGTTCGAGCGCTGTTCAGAAATTATTCTCCACTTGGAAGAGCAATTACAACGCTTTGAAGCCCTGGGCCAGAAAGAACTTCAGCCAGAGATTGTGTCCACTCTGGCCAGTCTTCAGGTTGCAGAAGTGGCTCCCCCGGGGGCGGTAGAGCGGGACTTGGCGGCTGAAAGAGAACGTCAAGTTGCAGAGCTTCATGAGCGTAATATTCGGAAGCAAGAAGAGTTAGAACGCTCGACAACTTCTATGAATTCGCTTCGTGATAGACTTGTCGAAGCTGAGGCCGAAGTCCTGCGCTTAAAGGCTGAACTTTCCCGTGAAGAAAACGTTGTCAATATCCTTAGCACCCAAAATACCACTGGCGCTTTGGAATATCATACGCAGGCTCGAGCTTTGGCACAAGCCAGGAATGAAGCAGCGGCCATCATCGTACCCAACGAGGAAGAACTCCGGGCAAAGGCTGAAGCTATGGTACGAACCACTCACGAAGAGGAGCTAAATCAAATTAGGGCCCAACTCACTTCTTTTGATTTGATGCGTGAGTGAATTTTGCTCTTGTAATGTTCTTTTGATAAGAACAAGATTGTCTTGTATCACTTTCTTTTGGTTCTTAAATAAAAAGTGATATTAGCTTCTCATTGTTTCTTGCATTTATCATGTTTTGATTTTAAGTAACAAATCACAAGAAATGCCTGAGATCTTGACTTAGAATAGATCTCCACAATGGTTCTGATGCAATGAACTCTCTTCATTATCGTTTAAGATACTTCTAGAAAGTTTCAAACTGCTGAGGAGTAATTTCTTCCCGCAATGGGGTTGAATGGTAGAATTCTTCCTGTGTTATGTTTTGCTTTAAACACTAAAAGAAGTCTATAAATGCTAGAGGTGTAGTTTTAACTTAGCAAGAGAGATATTGCGATCAGGGTAATTTTTAGGACTTATCGTTCTATTGACGATAATCGATAAGTTGATTTTGTCAGAGGTGTAATTTTAACGTGACAGAAGAAATATTGCGATCAGGGCAATTTTGAGGACTTATCGTTCTATTGACGAGAATCGATAAGTTGATTTTGTCAGAGGTGTAGTTTTAACGTGACATTTGTGGGGAAAGAATATTATAGCGTCTCACAGGGGAGAACTGCTATGTGTTTTATCATCGGAGCGATGAATTGTGATACTTGTGATTTGAGTAGGATTTTGGGGAAGTTTGTTACTCCACTGAAAACAAGTTATTTATTGCTCTGCTGAGGAGAGCTAATAAATTGGCAATGATTTGGAGACTTATCATTCTATTCTTGAGAATTGATAAGTGGATTTTGGGGTGCAGTATTAACCCAATGAGAATTTGAATTCTGCTGAAGAAATACAAAGGTCTTGATTAACACTCTGTTAAGTGAGCTTACAAGTGCATGTTCTTCGTTTAGAAGAATTGCAACGCTGGGGTGACCTTCGCGTTTGATATTTGAAATGCGAGGTTCGAGCCTTCGTGACGTTAGCTAGAGCCTTGCACTTATGAAATTTGAACGCGACTGTGAGCTTCGCGTTTTAGAGATGGTTGGGATTCACTTCCTAGAATCCCGTACCCTCTTAACAGCTTGACGGCTGTTATAAGTAGACCTGAACGGTCACGTCAAAAGTCAATTGACTTTAAAGACTTTCGGCTATTTCCAAGAACGAGAATTCTCGTTTGATTTCGGTGAGATCTCCGACGGGCTTCGTCTCCCTCATTCAAAGGAATTTCCTCCGATCGACTGCATCAATGGCACCTCGGAGAAGAGGTTCGAACTCCAAGAAAGTCGCCGGAGTGACTTCCGAAGTGCCGTCGGCTGAGGACGCTGGCGGCGCTCTTGTTCATGCGGGGACATCGTCGTCGTCACCGCTGCTGCGGGGGCTTCCCTGTCGTGGTGAGTGCCACCCGAAATAACTTGCCTTGGCAAGTTCTCTGAAAACCCTAGATGGGTTCTTGATAACGAGGAAGATGACTCGTTTCAACTCAATGAAAACGCGGGGTTGGGATCCCATGTGGGTCTCGACCCTCGCGTTCAAGTTTTTCAACGCGAGGTTGACCTTCGCGTTTGAGGCTTCTGACGCGAGGTTCGACCTTCGCGTTGGAGATTTCGATATGAGCCTTTAACCCTTTATGTTTCAGGCTATGCCTTTATGTTGATAGCTCGCCGCTAACTTCTGCTTTTGATTGTGCAGTACTTCTCCCAAACGTGCCACTTTCACAAGAGCATCATTTTGGGTACATCGGGGGACCTGACGCGAATGAAATATTTAGTCTTCAGAACCAAATTCCATTGTGTACTTATCCTGATTCGGAAAGAGCGGAAATGATTAAATTCCCTCAATGCTCTACTCTCAGGATTTTGATAACTGACTTGGACTTGGAGACCCCTGTCGGCCGTGCCCAGTTTCCTAAACCAGCGTTCATATTTGGAGATCGCATACCAGCTAATGATCATCTCACATGTATGGAAGACTCAAAGCTGCTGCGGAGAGTTGATAATCGCTTTTTATTTCTCCCTAGCATGAAGAGGATGTACCCTCTCTCCTACTTTCTGAATGTGAGCTGCCGTCGGGGCTTGACCTTCGACATAGTAAAAGAGAAGGAGAATGTGTCGCTTGGATTTGGTCGGCGAGCTCGTACACAAATCGGAGGGCAACTAAAGGGGTTAAGACCTGGTTTGTTTGAGAAGAAGGAGCTGGTTCAGGAGATGCCACGTCCAGCGAACATCTTTATTCGCCAATTCCTTGCAACTCAGGGTGAATTCTCTACCCAGACGTTCAGATCTCCTGGATGGATCTGTTCCGGAGAAGGAGGTTGGTGGACCCGTATGGTTGACTTTGTTCTTGAAGAGCTTAAGGACTCGCTCACTCAATCGGGTCTCACAATTCCGGTGTTAGCTACACGACAGGGAGTCGTGCAGAGTCTTCATAATTTCTTCGCTATGTTGGAGAAATATAACCCTGACAGCTGCACATTCTTTACGCCTGCTGGAGAGTTAGGTTTTGCTCTTCATGAGATGCAGGCAGTGTCGGGGCTGTCGCTTGGAAAAATGCCCTACGAGGAGTTCATTCCCACCACCGAGGAACTTTCTCTACTGAAGGTGGCGCACCCGGAAATTTGTGCTACTTTCTGGGAGCTGATGTGCCACTTCCACATATGTGCCCAAGTCTTTGGGATGCGTGGAGGGGGCATTATGCATACCACGTGGGCAGACTACCTCTTTCAGAATTTAAACCAAAAAGATGTAGCCGTATACCGCGTTGCAGTTCTCTCTCTTAAGGATGCCAAAGCTCGAATTACGGCTTCCAGTGCTACCTATAAGACAGAGCATACCGAGGATGATTTTGAAGCTGGTGTCGAATTCGAAAATTTCCACTACCAAGCCACAGTTCCTATCTCTGACACGGCTCTGCTTGCAGGCTTCTTCATGATTTGGTTGAAGCGGTGCGTGGTACCGTCAAGACCGATAGAGGCAATATTAGCTGAGGTAGTGTACCCAGCTGTTTTGCTAGCGCATGGGAGACCTGTGAGCCTCCTTACTGCTATGGTTGGCTGTATTCAGAATGGCCTGAGGGTGTTGACTTCAGAACTCCTCAGTGCTTCGAGAGTCAAAGCCGCTAAGAAGAAAGCTGGAAAAGCTCCTCAACCACGTGTACCAGTGCCATACACATATTTAATGGCCTGGTTCGTGTTGCATTGCCCTTCATTAATGACGGGAGTGCATGAAGGGGATGATGCTTATACTCCCTTCGTACAAAGATTGGAGTCGGCCACGTGGACTAGTTCTTATATAGTCAGGGCTCGACAGCTTCTATCCCGAGAAGATAAGTACCGGGTTTTCTGCTGTGCTCCTAACTTTGACGGGGCTGATGTTAAGGATGCTCGTTTCATGGATTTGCTTTTTGAAGGCTCGTCTTCTTTGGAAGAGGGTACCTTCAGCTGGCTTCTTATGATCAGGTTGGGCTACCTGGTCTATCGCTCACGGGAGAAGTGCGTAATCGAGCCTTACATGCCTTCTCGGTTCGCGAGACAGTTTGGATATGACCAACTCTATGTTGGCAATCCTAACCCGGCGTTAGCTCAGATTGGGAATTTATACGAAGGAGCTCGCGCATGGTACTTTTTCTCCGCCGGGGGAACCCATGCGCAATTCACTTTACCCAACTCACCGCCCGGCTGTTCTACTGTTATGGATTGCCGCCAGTGGTTTGCCGAAGCTTCTCGGATTCCGGAATATGACGTTTATACTTCATGTATAAACGAGATTCGGGAATTGTATCGTTCACGGAGCGGTTCTGCGAGTACTCGTCTACCAGGGATGGAAGAATACCTATCTTGTGAACAGGAAGCGACCGGAGCCGTTGAAGCTCCTAAAGACTTGTCCACCGTAGAACCTTCTGAAGAAGAGGTTCCTACGGGAATTGAAGAGGGAAAGCCAATTGATGATTCTCCTGAAGAAAAGACAACTGAGGAGATTCCTGCAGAAGAGCCCGTTCCTACACCTCGTTCTTTAAGATCGGGTAAGGAAGCTCTTTCTGCTGCTGAGCAAGGTGAGTATGACAGGAGAATCCGTAAGCGGATACCTGTCATGGCCAAGAATTCCAAGAGGGCCAAAATAATGGGGGATGCGATGAAGTCTGCGCTCGTTGAGCGTTCTACTGACGGAGAGGACGAAATGCCCCAATCGATCCCCTCAGTTCCTGAAGACGATGGGGCTGAAGAGGGTCCTTCTTCTGAAGTTGCTCCAACACGTGTTCAGGATGATCATACGGATCCAATCTATCCAACTCTTCCTCCTCCACGCTCAGGAGCTCTGAAGAAATCAATTGATGAACTGGAACGTTGGATGCAAACAATTATTGGTATGATCAGTGTTGAGGGGGCTTCTCTTGAAGACTGTAAATCCATCTTGAGCCAATGTTTGGACGACATCAAGGCCAAAGGGGATGCATCCTGGACTGAGCACTGCCAGGGTGGGATCACTCTTTTGATGGCAGAATTGACAGCTTTCAGGGAGTTACAGCGCGCCAATTTAGATTCTGAAGTGGAGCCGGCTCTTTCCTTGGCGATAATCTCGAGAGCGCATCACCCAGGGAATCTTCGCAAGGAACTATCTGATAAAATAGCCCGTATATCAACTTTAAGGAAGCGACACTCTAAAGCATATGCTAAAATCAAACGTGTTGCTTCTGATATTCGTGATATTGAAGAGACTATCGCTCGATTAGAGGCCGAGTTGGACCAGAAGAAAGCTCAATTGGCCCACTATGAGGATGTCAGAAAAGAGCTTGAGCATAAAAGTGGCCAAATTTATACGAAATTTTGCCGTACACTCCACGCAGCCGAGCAGACTCGTAAAGACATTGTTGCTACTCTTCCTATTGAAGCAGAACTCAGAAAGGAGATCGAGGAACAAGTTCGAGCAGCTCACCGGGAGAAACTCTCTGCTTTCAAGTCTAGGCTAAAAACCCTCAAGTTAATGAAGCCTGATGTTTAGCTCTTGACCTGTTTTTGATTAAGGAATTTTGTATCTTTT